TTATGCTGCACGCTGCACACACGTTTGGCCCGTTACAATGAAATTCTTGGGCGAATGGCAAAGTAGAACAAGCAGCAGCAGAAGCAAAAGCAGCAACAACATTGCCAAGCAGCAGCAGCAGAGAAACAGAAAAGCCAAGCAGAAAGCGAAACAGCAAAATAACCGCAATGCGGCAAATGAAACGGTTATGGAAGAAAACAACAAAACGTACTCGCCGCAACCCAAAAGGAAACAGACACACCGAGAGAGAAAAAGAGAGCAAAGAAAGCGCACGCAGTTAAAAGTGCGCGAGCAGAAGAGAGCACAAAACCGACGCAGTGCGAAACGCGACGAGTGATAACAGAATGTGTGCAGAGCGAGCGAAACGAAAACTGTGTGAAACGGTTATGCGAGAGAGTGGAGCACAATGAGAGACCACGCTGCTGCTACTTCTGCCGCGAAACGGTTAAATTGAGCAAATCAACGAAACGCGACAAAGCGACGACGACCAGAAATTCCAAAAGCTAAAGAATTTTTGCCGTTTCTTTTGCTCTTACTCATGCTACCTTTTTTTTCTCGTTTTTTCAAGCCAATCCTAACCTCAATTTTCGCGGTAAATAAAGCGAAACGGAATACAACAGGAAAGAGTAAGCTGCAATAGCAATAAAAAAGAAGCCGGCAGCGCTGCTGGAAACATTGCTTTTGTTGTTGTTCTTCGATCAGCCTTTTTCTGATAAGTAAATCATTTTTCATGTATTTTTATGAGCAGTTCAAATATTTGCTGATAAAAACTGCCGATAGCAACACATTTTTTCTTGGTTTTTATAACTTATTCTGCAAGATTCTTATTTAGCAATTCTGAATAAAGTAAATGCTGCAATACATATATATATATATATATACATATGAGCAGCTGTGACCAAAGCTGGCAAACGGGTAAGAAAGATAGAAGAGAGGGGAGTGGTGGGTAAAGGGAGCGCAGCATTGCTGATAACGAGTTTACCTTTTCTTCTTCTTTCTTTCTGTTGCTTTACTTTTTTTTTGTACACGTTTTGCTGCCCAGCAATTAATAATAAATAAGGGGTGGGGCCTGTGCAGGTGAGGTGTGTGAGAAGGAGAAGAAGACCTTTAACTCTCTCGCGTCATGGAAATATAATTTTTGCAAGGGTCGCGCCTCAAGATATAAGCACATAAAGTGTTAATTACAGCCTTGAAATATTGCTGTTGATAACTGCTCAGGGATTAGGCAATAAATATGCGAGTAAATGTACAAGTAAATAAATAATACTTCTAATTGCAAAATATATACGCATATCATGAGTTGTATGTATATTCTCACTGATTTCGTTCTTTATAAAAAATATATCGATATGTTTTTCTAATTGTCTTTTATCGCTAAAATGCAATTGAAAAATTAAAATTAAATAAATAAAAGCTATACAAATAATGATCATAAATATATACAAAAAAAAAATTGATTACAAATAAATGAATCAAATTCTACTAAAGAAATCATTTATTAATTAGGAAATAACCAAATTCAGATGACTCGAAAACATTCAAATTTTTCCGTTATTGATTTAACATTTTACAATACCAATCTTGGGCAAATAATTAACTGTTAATCTGGGGTTCTTTGAGAAACAGCTTAGCATACATTGAATAAGTAAAAACAACCCATGACAAACATAATAAAAAAAACGCTATCTACCTATATAGATATGATAAAAGCAAAGAATGTGTATTTAACTGACGCTATTCAAAAAGGTGACTCATTTTAAACTAACCCTCAAAAATGTGAGAGAAAGAAACAGGCAAAAAACGAGTTTCAAGTTCTTTTTAGGGGGTTAATTTGAAGCCAGCTGCTCAGCCAAGGGACAAAGGCTAATTGGAAAGGCTCATGCAATTGGCGCCTATGGACGAACTCACACACTGAGACATATGAGCAAATGTTAACCTTTGTGCCATTTGAGATTTTGCCAAGAAACAAAAAAATAAGAATTGTTGAAATTTCAATGGAAATGTGATTGTGTAAACAAAATGGAACATTCAACTGAGCGAGAGAGAGAGAGTGAGGGAGAAAGACGATCAACTTACCATTTTTGTTGTTATTGTTGGGCTTTTTGTTTTTGTTGTTGGAAAGAAATGTAGCTAAAGGTTAATCCGCTGCTGCTGCGCTGCCGCGGCTTTTAGTTATAGTTGTTGTTGTAGTAGTTGGTATGTGTAAAGTGGAATTTAACGTTGGACGACGACGACGAGATGGCGACGCGCGTTCTACGTTTAAAAACTTGAATAATTTATTATTTTTTAAATAACACACTGCAAAAGAGCGAGAGAGAGAAAGATGATGATGAAGAAGCAGAAGAAAAATACACGTTTTGATATCTGCTGCTATGTAAATAATATACAACAAACAACAATTGCAAAAGCAACAATAGCAACAACAATATTAAATATTATTTATTTTTCGCGAGCGTCGTTCACGTTGTCGTTTGCCGGCGGCGAAGAACAAATGAAATGAGGGAAATCAAGCTAAGAGAATGCGATGAGCAGAAAAAAGGCGACAATAAAAATGTTAACGTTGGCGTCGCCGTCGGCATCGACGCTACTTTTCTTTCGCCGTGGCAATTTCTTCTTCTTGCTGTTGCTGTTGTTGTTGCTCTTGTTGCCGAATTTTTGTATAATTTTTCGTCTTGCGTTTTATTCTTTTTTCGTTTTTGTTCGGGGTTTTCTATTGTGCGATATAATAAATAGGCGAAGAAACACACGCGCGCACACTCGTTATTATTAATAATATATATATATATACAATAAAAATTTTTGCTCGATTTCGGTTTATACAAATATTTGTTTCATTATTCTGTGTAAATTATTATATTTTTCTGTTTGCTTTCTCACGGGTGTCCTCTGCAGCAAATATTTGAATATATATTTCTTTTGTATATTTTTTGAGGGTATAACTCACGATCCTAATCAGAACGTTGCGTCCGTAACGGTTGACAACTCAATTGTAACTGTACCGTTTAAAAACCGTTAGCGTACTACAATAAATTCGAACTGTTGTGCTGCTGTTTGGCTGCACACAAATGTTAATTTCGTGCTGTTAGCGACTCAAATGAACTGTACGCGCTCTCTTCGCAACTCAAGTGAGCTGCTTGTGCCGCTGTTACGCTCAATCGGGCTGTAATGGTTAACATAATTTCTGCTTCTGCTGCAGGCAAGCCAATTTTGAGCGAAGCGGTTTTGACGAGCGAAACGGTTACATGCGCTCTCCGTTGTGTTGTGGGGCTTTTTGCCACCCGTTGCTGCGTTTGCTGCTGCTGTGTACGTAAACGCAACGGAAAAGCAAAGTAAAAAATGAAATTAGATGATTATTTTGCAAAGCGGGCGCGCCGGCGCCATTGGCCGGTTGGCTAAATGATGTCAGATAATTACAGCTATACAGATCAAAAGTGGGGGGAAGAAGCAGAGTGAACGAAGGATAGTTTGACATGCACACATACATATGTACATGTATGTAAGTGTGTTGGTGAGCAGTCATACAAAATAACAACACACACACACACACACACTCACACACATGCATGTCATGCAATTTCCCCCTTTTGGTCATTTGCCACCATTTCTCATTGTTCGCGTCCATTTTTGCACTTGTAATTTTTTTTGCCGCATCAAATTGTCGCAATGGTGTTTTTTACTTGTTATTTCTTTTGCTGCAATATCGAACGCATGCCAACAAGTTAAGTATGTTAACCTCTGCAAATTAGACGAGGGGCTACAAACGAAAAATGAAGTAACAATGCAGCAACATTTGGCGTAAAGGGAACTGAGAACTGCGACGGCTGCGGCTGCGGCGACAGCGACGCTAACGCTGACGTCGTCACTGGCGACGGGGACGACAGCAATGCGCCATTTTTCGCCATGAAATTCGGTTTGGGTTGCGTCTCCTTCTTCTCTTTCTCTTCCGTCCATCACTCAGACTGTCTGTCTGTGTGTGTTTGTGTAAATGTGTTGGGTAAACATTTTGCAATCCAAGCGAAGAAGAAGAAGAAGCCCCATAAGCAATTGCGGCACCCAAAACCCAAATTGCCCTCCTCGTTTGGTCGCCCCCCTCTCTTCTCTCTCTTTCTCTTTCTCTCTTTCTCTTTCTCCATCTCTCTCTCTCTCTCTTGCGCCAAAGCTTGCGTCGCAATGCGTTCAAAAATTCCTTGAAATTTCTTTGGTTTTCAATTTTTGGAATTATTTGTTGAGGTTATGCTATAAAATGATTACTTATCGAAATCGAACCTTAAAGAAATTAGGCCTATTCCCGCAAACTACTGGCTCGATTTAATTGTGCCTTATGTCATTTGTTATAGCATATATGGGCAAATTAGGGAAATAGGGAAATAACGCTAATTACTCTACTACGACCCATAAAAAAAATAGCCGCAAAATTCTCTGTGGAAAAGTGCGCTAATTGTCAGCGGCAAGTAAACTGCCTGCAATTACAACGATGCGGATGATGGCATTTTAATAGAGCCACTAAAAGCTGATTTCCATATGCCTCTAAAAACTACAGTTTTACGGGCACTGGCAGCACCTAGAAGCGGACAAAAAAGAAAGCCATTAAACTAGTTTTATGACAGCTTAGCGCTTAATGCACCCAAACTGTTCCCAAACTGCTCAACGGCTTCTCATGCAAAAATATGAGATTAATGTTGGGGACATAAACATAAAAGAGTGGCTACATGCTGATATGGCATTTTATTGTTTAAATAATTGTATTTAGAATTTCTAAATTATTTCGACATAAAAATGTGTGTTTCAACCTTAAATGTAGTATTTTTCTCGAGGTCAAAGCATGGTGAAGAAGACCTGGATTTGAAAATCGGATCTGAAAACGAAGTTATGGCTTTTTACAGTTTGAGCCATCTTCAAAAACACTTTTTAAGGTTATAACTTCAACATGAAAATCATGAATTTTAGCAAGAATATAGAGCTGCCATGTCAAGCTCTTTTAACATAGTTCTCAACTTTGTTTCCGATTTTTCAGTACTATTTCACTTTACTCAGTTCTTCCTCTTCGATTTTCTAGCTTTGCGAGCTTTGAGTTTTTGGTCCCGGCGCCATTTGAGATAATATTTCTGTATCTTTCGCGCAGCCCGATTCATCATAAAGATGAGAATGCGTTCCTGTTGCTTTCGCTGCTCCTCCCGCTCGTGGGTAACCACAATTCTGTTATAGATAGCTTCTTCCTCGCGATAGTCGACCATGAAATCATCCAACTCCTTCTTGGCCACTTTATACTGATCCTCCAGTTGGAGGTTTTCACGCAATTTCTCACCAATATTATTGTCATACTTTTGTAGGATGCCCTCCAGTTGAATTAGTAATTTGTTTCTGTTTCAAGAGTAGGGAATATTTGAGGAGGGTTTTAGAGGATATAATATTTTTAGATATAGTATTTTTAGATATTGAATACCGAAAAAGTTTTAATACAATCCATCTTCACCAGAATAATAAGCTTTAAGCAATTAAATGCAATTAATAATTCTAATTTATGTATAATATAAATTGCATTTGATTGCTTAAAACCTATTAATATAAAGGAAATTTCAAATACTAAACCCCTTCTTAACTTATCCTTCTCTCTTTGAGCTTACTTTTCCGCTCTCATTTCCTTCTCCCTCTGCGCATTCTTTTGGATGAGGAGCTCGTAATCGCGGCGTGCTTTGTCCAGTTCCTGCCTCAGCTCTTCCTGTTTCTCCAGGCTGCTCTTGTGATTATCCCCCAAAATGCGACTGCGTTTCTCACTGTAAAGTAGCAGAAAGAAGAGCAAGCAAAGGAGTAGAGTGATAGGTCTTTCTGGCAACTCTCTTTTCTACGCACATTTCGTTCTGGATGCGCACATTATTCTTCCACTTTTTGCTGGCCAAATCATTCTCCTGGTTCTCGAGTATAATCCGCCTAGCTGCTTGTTTCCAGCGTAGAACCGCATTCTTGGATCTCAGCTGCTTTCTGTAATACTCGATGCGTGTCTGAACCCTTTCCCGCTCCTGGAACATAATGTGCAGCTTTCGTTCCATATTGATTTCGGCTCGGGAAGTGCGTCTCAAATGTCGTTCGGCAACTTTCAAAAGATTTTCAAATGCATCGATCAGCTGTCGATCCTGAATCGAGAGAGTTTCGAGCAACTCGGGAAACATTTCGTGGATGTCAAAATGATGCTGAAAATAGTCGATGATGTGCAGAACATCAGCATTGAACTCCTCCATTTTGAGCACATCCAAATGCAGCATGTTCCTCAACAGGTTTCTGGCCGGTTCGTAGAAGGTGAATCGCAACTGGTTCATCACCCGATCCAGATCATTTGCCAATCTGGGCAGCATTAGGGATATTTTCAGACGTCCAATGGAGCTCTCTAGTATTTGGATTACATTATCGATTTGTATATCGCGTGTGCGTGTAAAATCTATTTTTTATATTATTTAAAAGGATTTTATTATTATTTATGTATTTTTGCTTACCGGTTAGTGTTGCCTCATCGCGTTGCATCTTTGTGCCTGCTGCATGTGAACTAATTTATTTTGTTTATACTTTAAATACGTTTTTTACTTGGGTTGCTTGGCAACTGCTGCGGTTGCTAGTGCCGTTATTCTTTAGCAAAACTACACTGTGCGAAATATTTATACTTACTGCATCTAAAATTAAATGTAAATCTATTCGACAGATGTCTTTCAAAAGTGCTTATAGATATATTGAAAGACTCTTAGATCATTTTTATAAAGAAGCCAAAATTGATGGAGTGTTCCCAAAGGAACACTGCATAGCCACAACCGACTTCTAACAAGCACCCAAATAACAATACTCAAAGCTTAAAATAGAAATCCCTATAGTTTCCATAAAGTGCTACAAAAGTGCTTCTCCTAAAGTGGCCCGGAACTTATGCATTCAACGGAGTTGCCAAATAATTTGAAGATTTTCTCAACAATTGCCACAGCTTCAAATTTCACAAGTCCTTTTAGGCAAGGAGAGGACGATGAAGGGGAGGCGCTGTTGGTGGGGTGTAGAATCACACACTGTGTGCGTGTGTGGGTGGGTGGGTGTGTGTGTGTGCTAAAAATAACATGCGTATGCTTGTGGCTGCAGAGTGGGCGTGGCTGCTGAGTGGGCGTTAGATGTTTGTACTATGCAAAGTCGTGAAAGGGGCGTGGGCGTCAAGAGAGGAGTGAAAGGCAGGGGGAGGAGGAGGGGGAGGGGGAGTGGGTGAGTGGCACAGTTTGGCAGTTGACTTCTCAGGCCTTGGGTGCCTAGGCAAAAAAAAAAAAAAACGAAAACGAAAACGACAAGAAAAACTTGTGCGCAAAAGTTGCACAAAGTGATAGATGATGGTAGGTGGGGGGTGGCATGTCAGTGTGGCTGTGTCGCATTATGTCAACTGGCGTGGCATGAATGAAAAGCTGCGACAGGCAGACAGGCAGCCAGGCAGTCAGGCAGAAACAACGACAAGCGACAACCGACAACGACAACTACAACAGCGGCATTTCCTGTTTGAAGAAGAAGTCCTAGCAAAAAGAGAAGAAGCAGCAGAAGCAGAGGGAGAGGGTGACGTAGCAAACTAGCAACGGGTGTGTCCTGACAAAGGACAAGCATAGAACCGACTCTATTGCGACTTGCATACAAAGCGTCTGACAACAAACAAAATTATAGGCCTCGAGTGCGATAAGTTTGCCCACAGTTGAGTTCTGATGTGCTGTGTGTGAGTGAGAGAGATAGATATATATATAGAGAGAGACAGATAGATAGAGAGCGTAAGAGCATAACATCTAGCGGATGTTAACTATGCATTAGTTCAAATTGCTGTGGCTTAAAATAGCTGAAATCAGAATTACATATCCTTGTAGATTGTATTCCATCTGCTGACGGACACAATAAATATAAAAAATTATGAGACTATTCCTATGTTAAATAAATATAAAAATAATTATTAAATTAATTACCAACAATTAAAATAAATAAACTATAAATTAAATTTCACTAAAGTCACATTAAACAAATAATAAACTTTTCCAAAATCAAATTGCAGCACGCTTAAAATATCAACGAACTCATTTTAAAATTGCCGCACAATTATGGCACATAAATCAGCGAGAAAGTTGATTTGCCACATGCAACAACTATGCTCGACTATGAATAGAAATGTCAACTTTAACCTTTGATGTTGATGGCTGCATTTGATGAAGCTGCTTGTCGGCTTCTAGTTATTTTCCAAATGATATGTTACCCAAATAGCTGCAATTCCACTTTGCTATCCAATTCCCTTTTGCCAACCCCTTCGCCTGCTCCCATTTGACGCACAATTTGCAGGTAAAATGAAAGGCCTCCACACACATACACACACATGTATATATACACACACACACACACACACACACACATACTCTCATAGTGTCCGCCGCAGTATTAAAAGTCAACTCACACAGACGGGTGGAGTGAGAGAGAGAGAGAGTGTGAGTGTGTGTGAGAGAGTGGGAATGGGATAGGGAGAGGCAACCACAGTGACAGCTGCGTCAGCGTCAGCGCAACAAGTAAGAAGAAGCAATAGGTGAAGAGGTGGGAAGTAAAAGCATCAAATAATATGCCAGGCACACAAAAAGCAACAAGAAAGAAAGAAAAAAAGTCCATGCAAAGTTTTCTCGCATTATTTTCTTTTCTGTTTTTTTTTTGCTTGTCTGCGTAAAATGCTGCAATGCTGACGAACAACAATAACAAAAACAACAACAATAACAACAAAGCAAAGCAACGAAAATATTATTGTTGTTGGCTGGCGGGCAGGCAGCGAAAGCGTAGCTCACAATGCGAATGCGTGATAAATATGGTAAGAAAAGGCGCTGGCAATGGTTAGAAACATGAAAAAATGACGCATAAGCAGCAGCAGCAGCAGCAGCAGCAACAGCTCAGAGCGCGAGAGAGAGAGAGAGAGAGGGAGAGAGGTAGAGTCAAAGAGAGTGTGCGCGCAAAGAGCGCAAAGAGAGCGAGCTCCCAGATGTATGCAGCAGTTTTTTCTGCTGTCGCTGGACTACGTAACAAATGGCCATGCAAAGCAGCACCGCAGAACAAACGGGTAAACGGTACTGCAAAACGAATATGCAGCGCAAAGCAGAAAAGAGGAGAGAGAGCGAAAGAGAGAGAGAGAGTGACTGAGAGCTCTTTGCTGCTTGGCCCACATTTGGCAGGCTCAGCTGTGGCGAATTGTTTTTTTTTGTTAACCGTTTCGAGCTCTGCTCATTATGTCGACGTCGACGTCGTCGTCGTCGTCGTCGTTGTTGTCGCCTTGGCAGCATTTTGCTGTTGCTGCCTTAATGTTATATATTTTTATTGTACTTGCGTTACGTTTCACGAGTATCTATGACTGCGACGTTTCACTGAAAATTCTCGTGGCATGCCACGCTTCGCTTCGGCCGCATTGCAGCTATAAATTTGTGGTTTTTTTGCATTCCAACCAAGCAAAGATTACTTTTGGGGCCGTCGCAGTCTCTACGTTTAGGGTTGCCTACACATTTGGTTTTTTTTACACTTATGGGGTCATAAGGGCTTGCTTAAGTTGAGGGTGGCAGTACTGTGGACTCTAAATAATATATAATCAAACAATTGAAACGTTTATTAATGCATTAAATTAAATATTATATTGCATTTGTAGTCAGTTGTTAAAAAAAGAGGAACAAATATATCAAGATAACTCTACACACTTCAATGACATATGTTTGATAGTTAAAAGAGATTATAACATGGAATATATATGGAATATAATATACAGAGGTGTAAAATACCTTGATATCCCTTCCAAAATTAAAATAATAAATAATAATAAAGTAAATAAAAAAATAATTGAGGAAAACACTTAAAAAATACTTTACCATCATCCTATCCACCATCTACCTACCAAATTCTACGAGACACTTCCTCTAAACTACCTTACTTTCACAAATGTTAGCCATTTCATTCTAATGGAATATTATAATAATATTTCTTACTAATGTAACTTTAGCTATTCATTATTATTCCTATCCACTTTTTTTTGCTCAGAACTAAACTTTTTCTTTCTTGAGGAAGTTAAGAAAGCAATATAAAAGCAATATCGCTGTATAATAATAACAAAAAAAAGTTACAGACTTTATCGTATCTTTTGCTGGCATTATAAAATGATGCTTTTTTGCTATTGCTCCTTTATAGTTTTTTTGGCATATAAAAATATAATCACATGCTCCATTTACTCCGCACACCAACCTCAACAGCTCAACACTTTTTTCAATTTCCATTGTCTCTTAAGGAGCATTGGGATGCATATAAATGCATACACTTACTGACATATCTATATATATATAGTATATGTGTATTATAGTAACTAACAGATCCCACATACTTGATAATGCTTATGGCCTGGCAGGCAGCGACAGTAAAACTTAACGACAATTTCCAGTTGGCAGTTGCCACTAAATTTTTGAACATTCTTATTTCCACTTGCCTGAGTTTTTGCTCCCTCATAGGAAAAGTTTTTCATTTTCAAAGCGTTTCCTTTCAGGTTTGGTAGTAGTTTCTGTTGCTGTAGTTTTTTTATTTTTTGTACTACTCTATGCGGCTCAGCTCGAGTTACTTTCTCGAACTTTTGGCCTTTGGCAGATGCTTGTGTTTTGTCTCTCAACCTTTTGGCTTGCTTGTAATTTGAATTTTTTCAACTGTGAACAGCCTGCTCCTGCCTCGTCCCCTCCATCTATCTCTCTCTCTCTCTCTCTCTCTCTCTCTCCGCGTCTCCCTGTCCCGAAATGTTGATTATGGTGCTTTGGAACTAAGCTGAGTAGAAGCAGATTTCAGTTATCTAATAAACTGCTTGCAATGCGATGTAAGTTTTGTGCTCAACATTTGATGCTATTACAAAAGTTTTCTTTATGTGTGAGTATGTGTCCTTTGGCCCTTGTTGTTGCCAGAGTTACGCAACTTGATATGCATAACATGTTGTAGTTGTTGCGGTTATGCTAACACTTGATCAAATCCGTAACATTCTTGAACTTTGTTCTACAGTTGTTGTGGTGATTTAAGGATGGGAGCTTTATTTAATGGAATGGAATGGAACAAAAGAACTCAACACGATCGTGTTATGTTAACATTCTTAAGCACTGTTATACAACTGTTGTAATTTAAACTTAATTGCTCAGCATGTTAACATAATACTCTGCAAGTATGTTATACAATTGCTGTAAAGTTAGTTGCTCACCATGTTAACTTCACATGATTGTGCAATGTTAACATTCTTAAACTCTGTTATACATTTGTTGATGTGAGCTTTTTACAGTGGAATGTTGTGCAATGCGTGCTCAACATGTTATCTCAACACGATCGTGTTATGTTAACTTTGACAGTTAAGCACACAATAATGTTAAAATACGATCAGCCTATGTAAACTGCTCCTCTTCCTCTCTCACTCGCACTCTCCTTTTAGGCTAGTCGCACTGCATAGCTTTGCTTACACTTTCTGTTAGTTTAACATTTGATGGCAT